TGTGGACCTCTGTCAGACGAAATTCCAATAGGAACTCCAAATCTTGGAATTATTTCTCATAGTAACCACTTTACTACTTCATTGGCTCTTGTGGTGCAACAGGGAAAAGCTTCTGGCCATCCTCTAAAAGTATCAACCCCCACCAGGATATATTGGTACCCATTTTGTCTAGGTAATTCTGAAAAATTTACTTGCCCATAATCTCCAGTTTCTGTACCAGATTTTAATCTATCCATTTGAACTCTTTTCTTGATTAATGGATTATTTTTCAAACATACGTCACATTTTGCAGTTATTAATTTAGCCATGTCTACCATTTTAACAGATATAACTTGTTTTTGTAAAGAAGTTACTAAAGCTTCTGCTCTCTAATGACATTCTTGATGTTTGGTTTGCATTATTTCTTTTAGGTAGAACTACTACTCGTCTATGAGGGGTTACTGTTTTGGAGGGAATTAATGCCATTTGGAATACTCGTTTTCTTGCTGTCTGGTTGGCCAAATTACTTCTAGCAATTTCTTTTGTGTTCCTAATTTGGTGTGCTTTACAGTGCATGATTGCTACCTGATTTGGTTTTTGAACTGCTTGCAATAATTGTAAAATTTAATTTTGATGCTTAATATTTGATCCCTGAGAGGACAATAATCCCCTTTCTTTCCACAAAGCTTCATGGACATATACTACCCTAAATGCATACTTTGAGTCTGTCTAAATATTTTTTTTTCTTTTCTTTTTTTTCTTTTCACTTAGTTCTAAGGCTCAAATCAAAGCATTAAGTTCTGCTTTCTGAGTTGATGTGGTACTCGTCAGTGCCTTTGTTTCTATAACTGTGGTGTCTGTTGTTACTGCATATTCAACATATCAAACTCCTTGCTCCATAAAGCTGCTACAATCTGTATACAATTCCCAGTCTGGTTGCTCCAATGGTACATCCTTCAAATCTTCTCAACTGGAATAAACATATTCGATAGTAGCCAAGCAGTCCTGCTCCAGTTGCTCTTCTTCCTGTGTGGAACTTAAAAACACTGCAGGATTTACCAGGTTAGTTGCTTTCAGAATCACGTCATCTTGTTCAGTCAGTACTACCTGGTACTTCATCATTCAGCTCAGAGATAGCCAATGTCCCCCCTTCTGTTCTAAAACAGTTATCACCGTCTGTGGGACACAGACTGTTACTGTGCTTCCCAAAGTCAATTTCTGAGTATCCTGTTTGAGCATCACTGTTGCAGCCACAGCTCGAAGGCAGTTTGACCACCCTTTAATCACTGTGTCCAGTTGTTTAGAGAAGTATCCGACAGGTCGTTTCCAACTTCCCATCTTCTGAGTCAGCACACCTAGTGCAGGCATTGTCTTTTGTGAACAAATAGCTGAAAGTCTTTGGTTATGTCCAGAAGTCCTAAGGCAGGTGCAGACATTAAAGCATTTCAATTCTGTGACAGCCCATTGTTGCTGTGGGCCCCATGTAAAAGGAGAGTTCTTTGGGCCTCATATAGCAGTTTAGCTATTAGACTATAATTCATGATCCAGAGGCGGCACCACCCTGTCATTCCTAAGAATGCTCCGAGTTCATTAATATTTTTCGGCTCAGATGGCTTCTCAGTGTTCTGTTCCTAATTGCCGCTGCCCTTCTGAAATCTCAAAGTCCAAATATATCACAGTCTGACATTCAGTGCCAGAAAATTAAAAAGATTTATTGTTACCTGTATGTAGGTAAATCTTTCTTCTGTAGCAATCAGTGTGTCATCCACGTATTGTAAAAGCAAACGTCCAGGTTTTGGTTTGTCCTGTTTCTGTGTTTCAAGCTCCTTTGCCAGCTGATTTCCAAAAATTATCGGGCTATTTTTAAATCCTTGGGGTAGTCTTGTCCATGTCAGCTGCATCTTTTGTCCTGTTTGTGGATTTTCCCACTCAAAAGCAAACAATTTTCTGTTTTCCTTCTTCAAAGGTATACAAAAGAAAGCATCTTTTTAAATCAAGCACTGTAAACCACTGATAAGTCTCCTTTAAAGCTGTTAACAGTGTGTAAGGATTTGCTACTATAGAATATATATCCTTAACTATTTGATGCACTGCTCTTAAGTCTTGCATTAACCTATATTCACCCGATGGTTTTCTGACTGGTAGAATGAGAGTTTTATACTCAGATTCACACTCCTCCAAGATTTTATACTTTAAAAATTTATCAATCAGTTTCTTTCTTATATCTGGTACCAATTGTCCTATAAAAATCACAGCCAATTATATCTGAGCTGCCTCAGTTTCCACTTTCAAATCAGGTTTGGGTGGTTTTTTTTGTTGTTTTGTTTTTTTTTTTTTAACTTCTTTTAGTCTTTCCAGAAATGCTGAGGGAGATTCATTCTTATCTTGTCTCACCTCATACAATTTAGATCAGTTCAGAAACTTAGGCATGGCATGTTTAACTCCATATAAAATTAATTTCTGATACCAACTCAGTCTTTCTCTGTGCTCCACATTATTTGGATGCCCACTGTGGATCCCCAGACGGAAAATGCTGCTTTAATATTCTACCTGTTGTCCCACTCAATACAGTCAATTCTGCCTGTGCTTTGCCAGCATTTCATACCATCTGGGGGTTTTTTGTATCATCTAACAAATTAGCTAAAATTACCTGTAAATCACTCCAATCCGGATTCTGTGTTCTGATGATAGTATCTACTACTCTGCCTGTTCTCTCAGGATCCTCTCTATACAATCCTGCTGCCTGCTTCTAAGCCATCAAATCCGTCACTGAAAAAGGCACTTTGACATACACTGGCCCATCATTGTCAACTCCCTGCCACAGGGGAGCTATTGTTTGTACCTGCTGCTGAATTCTTAGAGAAACAGGGGTATGAATTACAACCTCAGACGACCCTTCATCCACATCCTCTATTTCACTACTTTCAGGTTCCTCTACCTGTTCTCTATATTCTCGCCCTCGATGTCATTCTTTCTGTGGAGGGTATATATCTAATTCAAGCCTTTCGTCCTTTTTAGTAGAAGCAATTCTTTCCTTTAAACAATCTTTTCCAAGTTCACATGTTGAACAACACTTTTTCACCTTTTTATCGTCAGAAGTTATAGCCATTACTAAATTATCCCTACTAATCAACTTACATTCCTTCTGCCATTCCTTCCTTTGTCTTAAATAGAAAAATAATTCAACATATGGCAGTTCATTTTCCTTTTCTTCTACAAAACAGCATTAACTGCAAAATGGTATTATAATTCAGTGTCCCATTCATGGGCCATTTTTTCCCGATCATCCAAAGTATACAGAGGCCACCAGTGATTATAATATTCAATCATCTGACTCTTTCGCAAATCATCCTGCAAATCTCCCCAATGTGCTAACAAACATCCTAACAGAGAAGTTTTCAGAACTTTGTCATTTGCAGCCAGATTACCCATACTTTTACTTTTAAACAAATGAGTCAGCTTAGATGCCATGGTTCAGTTACTTTTTAACACAATATACAATCACTTAGGCTTTCCACTTCGTTCTTCTCCGGCTGCACTCCTCGCAGGATAACAGAACCGCGGATCCGAACTCCACACTCGCTTTGTGTTCAATTGCACGTCTCATGCTTACAAACACATTCACACCTTTCCACAATCATTACCATAAATATAGGTATGTCACACAATATAATACAGTTGTTAATTACCACACAATACTCAATCTAGGAAATAAACAGTACCACAATAAAGTGCATAAAAACTTCTAACTTTTCATTAGAGGCACTACCTTTGAGAACTCTATAGCATATAGGTTCCCTTGTCTATGCTGTTGTCCAACACTGCAATAGCTTTTGCTTATGTCTTATGGGCAGACGCCTAGGCTTACACTTTATGCTAGGATCCATTGGTCCAACCCTGCACAGCCTTCTCTAGGTCTGACAGGCAGACTTACACTAGTGGGACTTTAACCCACCTTCCCAATACCAAAGAGAAGTGTCTTACCAAAATCCAGGGGACGTCGCATAGAGCCTTATGGATCGGGGATCGATGGGGGTCCCCAAGAAATCCTCAGTGTTGGCTGGAACTGATCAGGTCGCTGACTCATCTGGTCTCTCTCAGCGAAGTCCCATCTGGGGTGCCAGAAACTGTCCCCGAAATCCGGGATAAAAATAACTTATCGACACCAATGTGATGCAGATAAGCAG